TTTTGTAACATCATTCTGAAGGCAGATTATTAATGCAATCTAGACATCAATTAGCATGTATTCTGGATTTACACCCATGTACCTAAAAGCAGAATCTGGCCACTGCTAATTCCATGTCTAAAGTGAACAATAAAAAATTAGAAGCTGAAACCTTTCTGTTTTGTTTTGTTTTTGTTTTTTTAAGGTTTATAAAGGGGTTGAAAGAGCTCTCACAGACAGTACTGTACTACCCCAGCAAAAGGAATAGGACAAACAGAACCCATTTGGATAGGCTTCATTCAAGCATTAGAAGAACGTATATCCAAAGTCTTCATTGTGAGGCTGAGATTTTTATTCTGGTATCAGAACCACAGTCCTCCAGTTTAAGCATTAGGCACTGCCCAGATAAATGTCTATTTTGCCTCTGATTTAAATGAGGTCATGATTTCACCCTGTTTGGCATTCTACACATCAGTAAAAATATATCCTTAGAACCTAACTTTGCCCCCACTCCAGGGAGATATTTGCCTATATTAGGACAGCAAAATGCATCCTACACACTGACTCCTTCAGAATCACTTCTGACTGTACATGAGGCTGGATCCTCCTCCCACAGAACTTCCATTAGCTTCAGCAGGGGTGTGAATGTGGCGCATACTCATAACACAATTTAATCCACAGGACTTACTCCTAGAACAAAGCTCAGTCATGGGTCTGTTGAAAATCCAGGGCATAGAGATTTCACAATTGAGTGAAAGACATTTCAGCTTGGACATACCTTTCAAATCCTGCTGCATGTTTCCTCCTTTCTGGGAAAGTCGCTGGGAAGGGAGTCACTCTCTTCTCCATTGCCCTTGGAACTTTAATGAGTATTGCTTTGGTTTATTTCAAGAGAAGCTATTGAAAATCAAACAAAGTGTCTCACAAGACACTACAGAGAGAAAAAACTGAGCGACACAGGAAAAAATGCTGTGAATTAAAATTTAAAAATGGAAAGAAAAGTATAGGTGAGGTATTTTTTCATATAATTTCTTCCATGTTTCTGCTCCTCCATCTGTTTTGTCTTTGACGTCTATGACTTGCCATTCATATTCCATCCCTATGCTTGGAAATTGGTGTCCATGAAGTGAAAGGTGAAGGAAAAGAAAAAAAAAAGAAAGTAGAACGGAGTGAGGAAGACATGAAAGGGTGCAGGGAGGAAGAAATCTACTGAGTGTAAAGGTGTCCAAAGAAGGGGTGGAAATGTGTTCCCCAAGGTCATGGTCTTCAATGGTGCTGCTTGTATTTTCAGGCTGTTAAAGACAAGTGTAGCAGGTGTACAAGAAGAGCCAAACTCCACATGCTACAGTAAGTGCAAAATCTCAAAACGCAAAAGCCATCACATCAAGGGTTTCCTTGTCCTGTGATAGAGTCCGCCCACAGTGGTTCTCTAGACACAGTTCTATTATCAAGTAGACATCCATTGATTTTTTGTTTTTTGTGGTTTTTTTTCTATTTTTATTTAAAAAGTAGCTTTTCTAATAATATATAGAATATATAAATAATAATAATTAAAAAAAACTATTTAGGTTTGCTCTCTGCTCTCCAACCCATCTGTATTTTTCGTGGTTTGCCGATATATATATTAAAAGACAAGAAAATCAACTCTGCTCACTATTAAAAAAAATATTAAATCCACCTTTTATGTTTCCAGAGAGAAAGAGAAGAGGGGGAGGTGGGAGAAAAACAAATTAAAATGAAAAAAATAACAGGAAAACCAAAACCTTCTGTCTCTTCAAAGCAGTTGTCAACAGCTTTAAACACTTGTGCTTTCAGTGTACACCCCACAGGAAAAACAATAACAAAAATAACAACCAAAAAAAACCAAAAACCCAAGGACCTAAATTTTAAAAAAGAAAACGGTAATAATAATCCTAGTAGTAAAAAGGACAGCAAATCGCTCAGAGTTTGTGTGTCTTTTAGTTATTTTAGCAGCCACCCTTTTTGTCTGCAGAGGGAGAGCTGCCACCACAGCCACCTCCTCGGCTCGAGAGAGGCTCTTCTGCATCGTCCTCGTCAAAGCCATGAAAGGTCGAGGTGTCGCTTTCTGACGTGGAACCGAACAAGTCCTCCGTAGTGCGTGCTGGCGCTGCTTCGTCCCTCCTGCCTTCTCTTCCCAAATGAGCTGACATGTATGATGAATATATCAGCACATGGGTTAAGCAACAGGCATCATCATCATAATTTTTTTAATCAGCATTATTATTAAACAATTCAGACTATCGAGCTCATAGGTGTGTGCTGGTATGTGCCCGCGCACCTCAACAACATAGCTCAGTAGAACTGCAGTAAGAAAAATAAAATCGGATCAGTTTCTTTTTCAAAGAAAAAAATCTACAAACAACACAGGTGCCCATAGCTATGGCAGCGAAAGGGTTAATCATGTTTTCCTCTCTTCAAAAGACATTAAAATATTTCCTCGTGTTTACTTAGATAAATTTTAAAAGATTTTTAGACCATATAAGTAATTAGACACCGTTAGCTCTAAGCACAATGACTGCCCTTCAGACTGGCATCAACTGTCACAAATAGACTGCTATAGAAATGTAACCCACTAGATAGCTCATCAACCTCAGGACTCCTTTTTATCCCTGTCCTTCACCTGATCCTAAATAGCCTCCTCTGTAGACAAAATTAAATACATTTTGAAGACTAAGTGAAAGTAACCTAAACAAGTGCTTTTGTTCCAATTTCATGGCATCTCCTTCAAAAATAAAAAACCCCAAACCAAATATATACAGTTCAATAGCTAAAACAACTAAGATAAGAAGTGAGCTGTCTTGGGAAACACTGAAAAATTCAAATGGGTGTGAGTCAATCCAACTTTCAAAATGGAACAGGAAATTCTCCACACAGGACATCAATAGCAGCAACAACAACAACAAAAATAAGACTCTTAAAAAGACAAGTAAAATACCGAAATATGTGAAACTGAGGTTTATTTTCTCCCTCAATCAAACATTTTATGTGATTAATAGTATAGCCTTCAAATTCCGTCTTCAAGAAAGGTAGAGAAAAACATGTCTCTTGTGCCCCAGCAAAATGAAAGTGTGAGATTTTAGGGAACAGCTACTTTATTATTCAGAAACAGTAGCATGGTATTAAGTAACCAACTCTTTGGTCCCCGCTCCAGCTACAGGAATCAGCCATATAACAAGTACACTGCATTGCTTGAGACACGAAGAATTAAATCCTGTTCACAAAAAGAAAATGGATATAGCAAAATAATTGGCAGATGAACCACCTTGTAGAGATGTGATTTTACTGACTTTGTGAACGGAACAATGTAATTTCCATGACCTCTCTTTCAGTGTAATGAAAATGTTCTCCATTATCAAGAAAGAGAAAGATGGCAGCCACCAAAGAGGTTTCATTGTTTTAGTTCAGAGATTAGTGTGTGGTTGTACCTTAATTGCTTTCATCACACATCAGTCACAGCATTGCAGAGCGCTATGAACAACCCGGGTGGGTCAGAATTTGTACAAGGATAGCATTTAATGGAACTGATATTGCACAATTTAGGTTACATGCCGATCTACTTGTTCTATCACACTAAAGAATCAAGGGAATTAATGTATTTGTGTTACACTCTGATATAATCACCATAACAATGTTTAAATAGCAAAAAAATATGGATCCACCTCACTGTGCTGTATCAGGACAATGCTGAAATGAGTTATATTGAACTATAACAATCAAAGGGAAGGGCAATGATCTTCCAAGATGGCACCACAGACCCCGTGAGCTTCCCCCTTCAGTTATTAAGATGCAAACACATATACAGTAAAAGGTCCATGCCCCTGACTGCACAGCATTCATAAGGATGCCCCTGGAGAAAACCAATGGGGATGCGATCGGTCCTCTGGTGACCAGTCAGTATCACTTCAGAATGTCTTCAGAGGTCACAACAACTGCAGAAGGCAATTTATCAGTGAAAGTCTAGTCCTGCACCCACTGAATGGGGTAAGAGGCTTACTATGAATTTCAGCAGGAGCATAAAAAGGCCATTCTCTTGGCACGGAACACTCCACATCACATTTCAGCCATTACACAACTGACATCTTTCAGTGACTACGGTACAAAAGGAGCAGCAACAATACTGAATTCCAAAGTCTCTTTGGTTTTCAGATTTCCATATGATGGTCTTATCACTACTGGTATCACCACTGTCCAGAAACATCACAACTGGAAACTTGGACCAAAGCTGGAATATGCTGTTGTTAAAGGTCTCCCATTCCCTCTACCACTGCCACCACCTCCCACGCGAGCTATAAATAACTGCTCAGCTGGAATAAAATTTCCCGAAAAAAGAAAAAAATACTAAGGAGAAAAAAAAAAAAAAAAAAAAAGGAAGGAAGAAAACAACAGTCCAGAAATAAAGACAACTCAGAATGGGAAAGACACAATTGCCTACATTTAAAAAGAGAGAAGGGAAGAAAACAGAGAAATAAAACCCTCTTTAAACAAAATTAATGATAGTCATCTTGTAAGAGGATAATTCTTGACAGCTACCCCCATCCCTACCCTGTAATTTCCTCCCTCTTTCTTTTTTGGATGAAGAAATGCATGAAATGTGTAATCAATGGAAATGCTTGTCATGCAACTTTCATAAATCTTGTAAGTAATTTATAGTTGTAATTGCAGCATTTGAAGACAGAGACCATTCTTTAACATTGTCATAGGATTTTCTCCTTCCATCTGAAGAACAACTAATACATGTACCAACGTTCACAGATGCCAATACATACATTCAAACTTTATTATTTTGTAAGACCCCATTAGCTTAAAAATGTGAATCCAACAATGGGTTTTATGACAGAAAATTTCCCAGTCATCCTTTCCCACAAACACAGACGAGAGGTAAGACTTCGTCTTCTATCCCCTCCCAAATGCACTGCCTTTCTTCAAAATCTTCAGAAGGAGTGAAATATTAATCACACAAATGCTTTTGTACAAGAAAGATGCAAGAAGGAGTCACCTACCAGAGCGCCCACAGTCTGAGCATGATACAAGTTCCTCAGGACGGCCACTTTTTTTGTTCATATTGGAGCCTCCGAGGCAGAAGTCACAGTAGTTATTGGGAATGATGACCCCATCTGGTCCTTTCTGGGCTGCAGTCGGGTTAGAAATCAGATTTACTTAAAGAGCATTCAGTTCAGACATTTCCCCCTTCTCCCTGATACGATGTTAGCTTGGTGAGTTTGCAGGCCACAGTCTTCCAAATATTGTCAATCAGAACAAGAAGTGAACTGTATAGATCACCTCCCTTTTAAGTACACCCTGTGTTGTATCTATTTTGCCTGAAATGCACTTCACCATTTCCTTTATAATGCCAGCCGGGCTTGTCCCTCACAAGGACCTGCTGCCTGAAACCCTTGCACAGGTTCGGGGACTTCATAACACGTACAGGCATAGAAAATTTCCCTAATGCAGAATCAGACCTACACTGTCAATAAGCCAAGTCTGGTTTTTCAGACAGCAGTCATAATCGTAAACCCACAAAATACAAATACAGAAAGGAAAAATACATTCCCTGAAACTCAAAAACCAACAGCAGGGAGATGGGGGGATAGGTACCCTAACTGGTTTTATTTCAAGTAGGTTTTGGGGGTGATTATATCTCAAAGTGGCAGGGAGTCCTGAGTCAAGAAGTCAGTTGAAATGCCCATGAATATTCACAGGCAAAGCCACTCACGGACCGTTGGACCAAGGGTTAAGCTACACGCAGCAGAGTGCACGTCCCCTGGGAGGAGCGGGGAGGGCAGCAGGTCCGGCACTGCCCCAGCACCCAGCACAGGTGCCAAGAGTCAGCCCGGGGCAGGCGTCCCAGCCAGCAGAGTTAAAAACTCTTTCAGCCAAGAAAAAAGGAGGGAAATTACATTCTTATTTTCCAGCTAGGAATAGTTGGAAAGGAGCACACACACACTGGGTCTTAAGCAGAGGAGGCAGCAGTTCCCCTAGAAAGGAGAGAAGGGCAGAGGTCTTTTGCATTCCTCATAGTTGAGCAGAACAGCAGTGTGCTTTTTTTCTCACTCACAACTGCCATTTTCCTCCTCCGCTCTCCAGAGAGGGAAAACTTCTTGTTCCTGTATACTCTAACTAGGAACTGGGGAAGGGAGAAGGGAGTGGAGGGAATTTGTCTTTGTTTCTCCTTTTTTAACTTCAGAATTCCAGGGGTATACCTGCCCTAAGCCCACCCCACGAAGATTTCTGCAAACTAGTACATGAAGACCTTTAAACTATACCATCTACATTTAATTATCTTTTTAATGCATATTTTGTAACTTGCAGATTTTTAACAGATGTTTTGACAGCCTTTATTAATGGTCTTTTTGTCCACATCCAAATTTCCCCCAAAGAACAATGACATTCTAAAGGGTTTCTGGTAGCAGTCCAAGACATACACTTAAAATTAAAATTTCCTCTGATTTCAATCTGCTTTTCTGGTTTGGGTGCATTTAGCTATTCATTTGCTTCCAGTTGTTGATTAACTAAGCTTTTTGGAGATTGGCAACGGAAAGGTGAGGTGAAATTAAGAAAAAAATTAAAACCCTTAAGGCTGCATATATATCAGTATCTTCCTGCATGGTCCCTGAGTCCCTGACAGTATTTACAAAACAGTGGACTTTGTTCTGAAAGGGTCCCGGTTAGCAGATCCCCAGTTCTCCCAAAACCACAGAGAAGCTCCCAGCATTAGGCTAGCATTTTGCCTGTTTGCAGAGAGGCATTTAATACATGCATGCAAAATAAGCAAAAAAACAGGAACCAGGTGGAAGCTTAGCTCACTGGCTCATTTTAAGAGCTGTAACAAAATGATCATAAAGTTGCTACTTGTACATATCTTGTGTATAAAAAGCAGATCTCCCTAGCACTTATTTTTCCCACTACAGCCCCATTCTGAAAAAGTTAAGCAATTACTTTTTTATATTGTGCTGCATCTACAGACAGGCCATGTGCAATGCAAACTCAGCAAGCTCAGCATTCAGTGATTTTTTTTTTTGTGTTCCTTATTATGTTACTTCACCTTTCATCCAAGTTTCTTACAAGTGCCTTACAGATACTAAGATCCTAACATTAATCTTCAGTGAGGTCAAAAGCTTCTTTTGCCATTGACTCTAACCGAAGTGTTGCTGGGCCCTAATTAAGTTCCGTGGTAAGGATGCCACACTGCGTTTTACAGCTGAAAGACTTGGAGGTAAAGTGATGAATTGGCTTACTCATGAACACACAACAATTCTGTGGTGAGGCCACAAATAAAAACAAGCATTCAAGGTGCTGGCCTGCCAACCTAGGAAAGAGCTCCGCTGCTACCACCACTCAGACTGGTATAATTGATTTAATACTCTGCATATACAGACTTAAATTTTTCCAGTGCACCTTATGACTGTAAGATCCACTGACAAACTGGAAATGGGACAGGGGTCCTTGTGAAAATGCATCTACTGATCAATTTGTCTGTGGTATGTGGGACAAGCGAAGGTTATTCGCTGACTGCAGTGAAGCTGAAGGGATTCTCCTAGACTACTGGCAAGGGAATAAGCATGGGTTCTGATCTTTTCTCTTTTCTCTTATTTTATTTTCTTTTTTCTTTTCTTTTCTTCCAATTTAATTTAATTTTTAACATGAATGCCTATGTGCTCATTTATTGCTCATCACTCATAAATACAGACCTGGCTCAGTCAAGTGTGATAGAGATATCAGGCCTGAAAAGTCGTACACAGATGAGAAGTTCCTGAAGTTACATCAATGATATTTTAAATGATGTACCTCTAGAGCCAAATAAGCTAGGCAATGTTATTCTCTTCAATGATTTTTTGTTCTAACAGGTGAAGAAACAAGAATCAAACAACTCAAGCTTATTTTCTTGATCAGTACTGTACAGTGAATTAAGCAGCAGGCTAAAACACAGAAGGTTTGAAAATAAAGAGATTTCCAGATAATAGTAAGCAGGCTTCTTACTTTCAAAGGATTTTTTTTTTTTTCTGTACGTCCTTGGAGTTTTTAGTTCCATTTTACTGTAGTTCACAAATGATGAGGGAATTAAGAAACAAAGCAAAGATAGCAAGACATAACGTGCAATATTTATGAGAACGGTATCAGGAACCAAAAGCCCAGCCCTAATCCCATTCCTTAATAAAATTACTTACAAAATCAAGTATGGGAATGGATTCATAAGTGAAAGCAATGAAATTACTAGGGACTGATATGTTGCTGCTTTTTACCTGAGATATAGTAATTAACTAGATATCCACTCTTTGAACATGTTAGTTAAAAAGTAGAAGGTGCTAACTTAAGACAGATGACAATTCAGCTAATGAGAAGTAACTCACTAGTAGGGTGCTCCATCATTTGGATGGGGTGACTACAACCAAGGATTCTGTCTACAAAAATGTTCACCCAGAATCAGAAACTGTTTTAAAGCAAAGCCTTGAAAACCAGCCATGGTCTTGTCCTAACTTACTCGAAACTCCTCTGATTTTCTTTTACATTACAAACTGCAACAACAGATCAAAAGCTCTGAGGAGCTTTGAGGAGTACTGCCTAAGCAAAGGTGTGCTCATAGGGGTGTATTTAAATCAGTGCCTCTTGCCACTCAGTGTCTCTTCCTAGATTCATCAAAGGCCCTATCTTCATCTACATCTGCCCCAAAATAAATAGATTATACAATTTTTTAATTTTTTTTTTTTAATGGATTAAGGCGAATTGCAGATTCATAGAATCATAGAATCATTTAGGTTGGAAAAGACCTTTAAGATCATTGAGTCCAACCGTTAACCTAGCACTGCCAAGTCCACCACTACACCATGTCCCTAAGAGCCACATCTACATGTCTTTTAAATACCTCCAGGAATGGTGACTCAACCACTTCCCTGGGCAGCCTGTTCCAATGTCTGACAACCCTCTTGGTGAAGAAATTTTTTCCTAATATCCAATTGAAACCTCTCCTGGGGCAACTTGAGGCTGTTTCCTCTTGTGCCATTGCTTGTTACGTGGGAGAAGAGACCAACCCCCACCTTGCTCCAGCATCCTTTCAGGCAGTTGTAGACAGCGATGATAAGGCCTCCCCTGAGCCTCCTTTTCTCCAGGCTAAACACCCCCAGTTCCCTCAGCCTCTCCTCACAAGACTTGTGCTCTGGACCCTTCACCAGCTTCAGTGCCTTTCTCTGGATGTGCTCCAGCACCTCAGTGTCTTTCTTGTAGTGAGGGACCCAAAACTGAACACAGTATTTGAGATGCAGCCTCACCAGTGCCGAGTACAGGGGGACAATCACTCCCCAGTCCTGCTGGCCACGCTATTGCTGATACAAGCCAGGGTGCTGTTGGCCTTATTGGCCACCTGGGCACACCGCTGGCTCATATTCAGCTGCCTGTCAACTAACACACCCAGGTCCTTTTCCACCGGGCAGCTTTCCAGCCACTCTTCCCCAAACCTGTAGCGTCACATTGGGTTGTGGTGACCCAGAGAGAAACAGAAAGATCTGCACAGTTCAGATGATACTTCCTCTGTACCTGAAAGGTGATTCATGTGAAAACAGGATGCAGACTGAGAACGAAGTCAATATTTCCAAATAACTTTGGTATGCATTTATTCTGAAATATTTTTTTTCTTCTTAGCCTAATCAAGTTAATTTCAAACTATACCAAGCTAGGCAGAATAAAGACCTACTTAAAATATGGTATCATCATTCACAGGAGTCTTCTTGCAAAATAAGTACTGTAAATTAAATAAATTCTGTACTATATCAGACAGTAACTTCATTCTGTAGACAAAACCTAAAAAGCCAAACAAACTGACTGAGTTTATATATTTAAAGTAACTTCTGTGCCTTCTTGATTTTGAAGGCAGGGCCTCTAATCAGAGTTCTAGCTTCCCTTCTTCCCTTAACAAGTAATCAAAAAACCTGGAAGTTATCTTCCTTATGGTTTCAGTTTAATAATAAAAGAAAGACTGCTTCTAGAGAAATGACATGAAGAAACTAGGATTTTTCTTTTCTACATCATCTCCTGGAGCCACGTGACTCAATAAGAATCTCAGTTTCCTAGCTCTCACGGCTGCAGAGAATATCTTCAACAGAAAGCAAGTTCAGAAGCAGCGATTCTTGTCCCTGTT